CAAACAAACAAACAAGCAAGCAAGCAAGCAAGAAAGCAAGCAAGCAAGCAAGCAAGCAAGCAAGCAAGCAAGCAAGCAAGGAAGGAAGGAAGGAAAAGCACCTCTGCTAATCTGACATTAAATATGAAAAGACCAACACTAACTTTTCATTCAAAATCTGATGCCCAAGGTGATTGCCTCAATCTGCCCAAGGATAGGGCCAAACCCTGTTAACTAGGAACAGGGATTTCATTTGCCTGCCTACCTGCTCTGCCACTTGGCTGTTAGCTCTCTGTTTACCATTGTTTCTTTTCTGTCTTTTAAATCCCAGCCTGATGCACACAGTGTCAAGTCTTTGCTATCACAAGCACAGAAGAACAGATGACACTAGGATTTTCTGTGCAGCATGATATCCTCCTTTGAAAAGTGATCCCTTTTGATACTGACAAGGCTTCATCATAATAAAAGCAAAGCCCGATAAAGTAAAATTTTTGACTGCAATCATACAAGCTTATAGGACTCTGGAGGTCTAGTAAAGACAAATTATAGTGGGCAATGAACTGCTGCACAAATGCCTATATGCTACTTATTTCAAGCCTTTTCCTATGATTAGCCCAACTAACATACACATCTGGTAACTAATTATCTCTGGTCCCTGATGGCTCACAGGAAAGCCTGTAAGATAGGAATGTGAAGACATTTCACCCAAACATGTTCGTGGTAAGAAAGCCTGTCTTGACATACTGAGACAGATTGCTCGGAATTTGTTAACCCCCACCAGATTTTTTACCTTTAGCACAAGAACATGAGTCCTGGGGGTAGGGGTGAGAGTTATACAGTATGTGCAAAACTAGTGGATGTTTTCTTCTTGTTGCGTGTGAAATACAGCCCAGAGGCCACACAGGTACATAGGGTGATTGGACAAAAAGATGCAAACAAATCAAAGTCCATACGATTAGACAGTAACAATTGTATTGTGCTACACAATTTGTGCAATTCATGCAATTCAAATGAGAGGGTTACAAGGTTCTCCACCACCGCCTTATCCAGCTAAAAACAGTAAGAACTAAGAGTGCATTTCTACCCAGATGTAAACAATACTGAATTCAAGAAGACCTTTTTTTCAAGTATGTGGTCATAGACTTGTACTGTATTCTCCACTGAAACCAATCTAAGAGATTCAACTTCACTATTGTTTTCATAGAGACTATGGCTGCAATCCTAAACACATTCGTTTTCAAGTACTTATTTTGAGCTAAATCCAATGTTAGTCCAAAGCAGAGTAGACTCATTGAAATGAACTGGTCACAAATAATATATATTTTAATTGAATTCAGAAGGTCTGCTCTAGTTGAGTCTAACAGAAGATACCTCTCAATTTTGTTTTGAAAATATTTTTATGCCCCTTTTCAAAGATTAAATAATCTGGTCAAATTGGTTTATAAAATATGAACATGAAACTATTATATGTAAAAATACAATGAACTGAAAAATTGGAATGCCATTCCAATACATATGTTTAAAAAATTGATATCCAGAAGGGGTATCTGTGTGAGAATCTTGTGGTATATCAAGACTTACAAGTTTTATGCAGTATTTGTGAATTGTGGCTCACTTCATGGACTTTTGCACCAAATAAAACATGTTAGTCTTTTAGATGCTACAAGACTCTGTTCTAAATCATCAACGACTTTTAAAACTGTACAATATAAAATATGGAATATAGATCCACATCAAGAAAAAATGATCGGCAGCATTCTAATTTTCAAAGCCTGTTTCAAAATATTCAGGGAGGGCCCCCGATATATTTGCTGCAGAGAAGCATTCCTGTAAAAATGGGGCTACTACTGAAAAGCATGTATTTCAATGTGACATTCTTCTGTAGATAAATGATTACCTCCAACAGAAAGCAAACAGAGAGCAATCTTAGGTGTGTTTACTGGGAAATAAGTTCCACGATATTCAGTGGGGTTTGCACCTAGGTAAGAGCGCCCGTGGTTGCAGTTTTGAACTTGGATCAAGGCCATGGTAGGTAGAGATCACATTATTTCTTAGGCTTTGTGGATAATTCTTTGTGGATAATTCCATTGCAATCACATGGATTTCCCAACATAGACATGAACTGAGAACATTTTGCTCACTCCGAGCCCTTGAATGCGCATCTAAATTTATCCCCACAAGAACTGCAGGAGCAGAAGCAGATATATGACTGGGATCCTGGGTGTTAAGTTGCACTGGATGACTATGCAGAGGAAAGCTGGGGAAATAAATCAACTTATTTTGAGTAAAACACATCTCAACTTACTTTTATGGGACAGAGGGCCATATCCTGGAAAACAAAACAAAAAGAAATAATTAGCAAAACTGGTGCTAAAATACTAGAGCTGTTGTTCAATTGTCATTTTTTAAAATGAAAAGAGCATACTGTACATACTTAACCAGAGCACATTACTGTTACAAGACTAAGAATGCACCAATTGTTTTCTGAATAAATCACAGCCATGAAACATGTTTCACTGCACTAGATATGGTTCCTGGATAACATCTTGTAAAATGTACACCTCTCTCCCCTGCATATTCATCTGCTCTTTTCCCCCACTAAATGTCTGTAAGGAATATACTTAACATGAAAACACAGTGGAATGGATTGTCACCAATCCGACTTTTTAAAAAATGTAATTCTAAAATTTCATGGATTATATTAATCAGTCTTGTGCAACCTCCATGGGGCCAAAGGGCATTTTTACAGGTCAGCCTGCTTGAGCACCGTCATTCCAAAATGGGTATGGCTAGAGGGGAAAAAAGTAGGGAAAGGGTGCAGAGCTTTGAGTTTTATTTATTTATATCTCACCAATCAATTGGCATTGCCACTATTGTAGTCATCGTAGTAATATGCTGTATTTTATTATTAAGTGAATTTTGTTATAGAAAAATTTAAGAAATCAGATTAATATATTCAGATCAAATTTACATATTTTTAAGTATTTCATTTTCTCTTCATTTTAGTATTCATATCCTCATAGGATCCACAATTGCTTATAATCTTAAAACAGAATATAGAAACGAACAATGTAATGAATCATTACAGTACTGAAAAGCAGTTAAACTAGTATTTTATTAAAAGCTACTTACACAATTTAAAAAGTATTTTAAAAATTAAAGTTATAGAACCCCCCCCCCCCTTTAAAAAAAACCCTCATAGTCAGCTCGTGAGTAGAGAAAGACCTGTCTCAAGTGGCAAGTTTTTGCCTGCCAGCAAAAGGACAGCAAAAAAGCAGCCAGACTTGATTAGCTATTTTTTAGTTAATCAATGGTAGTGCATTCATTGATGGTCAAGTACATTTCAGCATGCAATAAAATAGAATTTAAATGATTTAGTAAATTACAGTCTTTATATTCATTGATGAAAAACAACTGTGTAACGGTTACTTTTGATTAAAAAGGTAGACCAGAGCACAGCCAATAGCAGAAGCAGCTGCGGTATGTGGTGGTCTGATAATTATATTATAAATAGTGTTTTTGCACCTGTTCCACAATGTTACACCTGTCCAACATTATAGTTAGGAAAAATAGTATGTTTACCTAATGCATCTGAAGAGAATGGATATGCTCATTCATTATACAAATAAAACATTCTGTATTTTTCTTTTCTCTGCACAGAAAAAAAAAGTATACGAGCACCTACTATTTAGTCCTTACTGGAGATTATCTAATAAACAAATGAGATAATCGATATATATCCTGACTTTCTCCCAAGAATTATACTCGAGTACCTAACAATGTTAAATTGAAATAAAAAGCCACGAATACACAATACATTAGTATTAAAACATCTGTAAAAGAATGACACCCATCCAGTTGGCATCCCCTTCAGCACCCAAATGCCTTAACGGCCAAAGACTTATCACTATGCTGGATAACTTGGTACTTTAGGTATCTGGCTAAGGAAATGTACATATATTTTACTGGTGATAAGTCTTGGGTTCTGAAAGGGATGTCAGCTGTTGGGTGTTCTTTCTTCTCTCTCTCTTTTGGTTGAAAGGTTAAAAGAAGGGCCCCAGCCAAGCTTCCAATGCCAGGGAGTTCCACATCCTGCCAAGGAAAGCTAGACTGCTCCCCCTCCTTATTGTCTTACAAGAAACAGACTTTGATCAAAACCACACTGTGAAGATATATCTTTTTTTGGGGGGGGGACCTAGGGAGGTACCATTCTAGTTTTTTTATATAGATTAATGATATGGTGGGAAATGTTTAAGACTGGCCAGTCTTGTTCAACATGGTAATCTTGAGACCAGAGGTGACTTGAGACTGTACAGAATTTTACATTTTCCAGGTTTTTGTTCATTGATCCTTTTAAGCATTTGACCTTCAAACTTAAAACAAGGAAGGTGAGGTTTTCCTGGTGAATTCCTGCTTGAACTTGTTTGAATGAATAGCAAAATTCTGTCACTGAAGAATCACTTTCTTGAATCTAGTAGAAGCCTTTTATTTCACTGTTTGAGAGGAGGTGATTTGCCCCTTCTCATTACAACTGAGGAAGAGTATAATGTCGAAACACATCCATCACAGGTACGGGAGGCAAAACAACTGTGTATAAATTAATCTATGAAAGATGGTTCCAGATTGGTGGTGGTGGTGAATACTTTCTTGTCTCATCTATGAAAGATGGTTCCAGATTGGTGGTGGTGAATACTTTCTTGTCTCAACCTCAGAATTAATAAGAAGGAACTGCAAAATTATTCTCCATCCTACAAGATAAGTATGTACTTTGTGGAGCCTTTGACAAGACAAGAAAAAGAGACAATAACATTTTAACTGCAAATAGTACTCTGCCAAAATACGATGTATGTGTACTCATGGTTGCTGCTTTGTTGCACAGACTTAGGGATGAGAAGCAGTGGAAGGGTTGTTCACTTCTTCTGGAACAATCATCTAGTCCTTACCCTGTTTGTTCTGTATGTGTGCTTTACAGGGAAAGGGAGAGAATGGAGGCATTCAAGAAGAAATTGGACAACCATCTGTCAGATCTGCTTTGACTTGGATTCCTGCCTTCACTGAGGGTAGGACTCCGTTGCACAGACTTAGGGATGAGAAGCAGTGGAAGGGTTGTTCACTTCTTCTGGAACAATCATCTAGTCCTTACCCTGTTTGTTCTGTATGTGTGCTTTACAGGGAAAGGGAGAGAATGGAGGCATTCAAGAAGAAATTGGACAACCATCTGTCAGATCTGCTTTGACTTGGATTCCTGCCTTGACTGAGGGTAGGACTCTATGGCCTTACAGGCCCCTTCCAACTCCATTATTCTATGAAAGAATGCTAATTTTGCACAATGATCATTTGTATAAATTAGGGAGATCCTCACAAAGGAAAACCGCGCTCCTTATGTCTAATTGAGGAGAGAATTGTCATGTGGCTTGAAAATTCCTCATCGCAGGCATAAAATCTTGTTAAAACAAGACTATGTTGATTCAGTGATTATTCCTTACATCCCTCTTCAAGACCTTTGTTCATCCCACGTGTTTTGATAATTTTTTGCCTGCTTTCCTTCTGCGGTATGCATTATGTATTTTCTCCAATCTTGTATGGTTGGAAGCATAAATGATCTGTATGATATATAAAGTGTCATAATTGTACATGTATGTAGTTTGGGGTAGGGAAATTCTGGGGAGGGACGGGTAGACAAGGGTCAAAGATAAGCATGCTTTTTAAATATCTCCTTTAGAAAACCCAATAAACTTTGTAAGAAAGGGCGTTTAGCATCTTTGTAACCTCAGTGTTATCTCTGTTGCCTATTTATTTGATTACCAAAATCATACTGAGTTTTTAATGCCAACACAACACAACTGCTGACAAATTGCCACATGTTAAAAAATTAGTGTTGCCACTTGTTATTTTGCACTGAATTGCATGGCTATGCCAATTTGCCCAAGAGAGTCATGCCAATTGCTTTATGTTGGCAGGCATAATGAAACAGGATTTTGGCTGATACATAACTTCCATTCTAAATAAAGGCTGAAATCCTGATAGTGTCATAAATCATAACTAGGGTAGGCCCACTGATTCAATGGGTTCACTCTGGTTGAAAGTTACTATGGTAAACAACAGGATTTCAACCAATGTTTTCGAAGCCATCTGTCTACGGTTGCAAAATATATGTGAATTCCTATTTTTTAAAGATTGATTCTATATTCAAATTTCTATATTCTATATATTCTATATTCAAATTTTGCTCCACTTTTATTCCTAGTCTGAAGGCAGTTAGAGGGGTTGTGCAGATGAGGGTAATCTGCAGAGAAAGAAAGACTCATGGAACTGCTTATATGTTTCTTTAGTTCTGAACTCATCATCATCATCATCATCATCATCATCATCATCATCATCATCATCATCATCATCATCAGGAACTGCTTATATGTTTCTTTAGTTCTGAGCTAGCTGTTTATCATCATCATCATCGGTCTTAGCCTAAAGAATTATTAATTAAACATCATCATCATCATCATCATCATCGGTCTAAGCCTAAAGAATTATTAATTAAATCTGGTAAAATTCTACTCAAAAATAGCATGCACAATGTGGTTTGCTGCCCAATAGGTATATTCAGGATTGCAGTACTAAAATACAAGTCTGTTTTTCTTCCTTCCACTAATATGAAGCAGTTGATCAGTTTAGAGTTTGAAACAAAATGCAAGGAACTTAATTGAAAACATGTTTACATGGGTTGTATATTGTTTTCATTATATCTACATAATGGATATAATTCAGAGAAACCCTATGCTTGAAGTCATTTTAAAAAATCATACTAGCTCATCCTTTTTCATTCCAGCTCTCCTCTCAGATTGAATACATGGTTACCACTGGTTTGAGGGCAAAGGAAATAGTAAAAATTGCACCATGGTTCAGATTTTTGGGGTGTTTGTTCAGCAGAAATCAGCCAACATTGAAATAAATGGCACATATCATATTTTGCTTGGCAGTCAGAACCTCTGAAAGGGAGAAGGAAGAAATATCCCTTGTCTTCATACTCTAAGGATCAGAAGGGAACAAACTGGTCTTGTGTTTTGCACCTTAAAGATGCTGAGCAAATGTAAAACATTCTTCCTACCCCCCTTTACAATACATCTGTTAAATTCAGGGAAGTTTAAAATAGAGATGTACACCTTTTGGGGCCTCATCACCTAAATGCAACATTTACCGAAGGGCTGGGAGCAATATGTACAGTGTGTATGCATGCACAAACACTCACAGCATAGACAGAGCTAAAACCATCCAAGATGGGTGACAGAGTTATTATTTTATCCTTGAGAAATCACACTGAAAAAAATACAGAAAATACAGAATGGGGAAAAAAAGGAATCCCATACACGAGCCCTGAAGACTAATCGCAAAAGAAAGCCAACCATTTTGCAAGTTATCATGAATTGAGAACTGAGAAAAATCAATGTACTCTAATGCTTCTGGGAGTTAAGGAATTTCCTCTTCTAATCACAGGATATCTACAGCTTGTGTCTCTGCCATAGATGGGATAAGAAGGTTCAAAATGTCTCCCCATGCCTACCATCTGGGGTATTCCTTGAAAAGGGAAACTTTTCTATCTCTGATAATAGGATTTCAATCTTTGATCTGAAACAACATTGGTTGCAGGAGGAATCAGATCTTGGTTCCACCAAATTTTGGAACTGCGTAAGGAGTGGCCAAAGGATGCACGCAGCCCCATATCTACAAGTTGTGCATCCTGGTCTAAAAGGAAGATGGGGCTGAATGGAAACTAGCGTTAGCTGAACTCATTTTGCACATAAATCAGTCAAGCTGTGTTTGAGATGGAGATTTAAACATTGTTTCTCACCAGCATCTCGTTTGCCCATTAAGCCATAGAACTGCTGAGGTCTGGGGCGCCTGGCAATTCTCTGCAGGAAGTGCTCGAAGGGTAAGGATAACTCTTCCTGAAACAGAAAGTTTGTACAATAATTAAAGCACTGAGCTTGCAGTATTGAGGACATGACATTGGGCAGAGCTTGGAAAAGATGTGGATTGCAGTGGCCAGGCTGGATGGAGTGTGGTAGTAGGAGATAAAGTACAAAACCCTAAAGTTTCCAAGTTCTGGTATTGGGTGAACAAAGACGATGGCGCTAGATCCAGATCTTGGTGCTTTGTACATGATGCCTGCGTGTTTCACTTTCCTTTTCTGTTACTTTCCAAAATCGTCAGTACTTTCCAAAATCTCCCCTTCAATCCTGCTTTTTCTTCCTAATTCAAACCATGAAACAATTCCCTATCAGTGATAAGAACCCCCTATATTCCGTCACAAGACAGCCATTAGTGGGTTACTGCAAATAGAAAATGGAAGAATATCAGACTGACTAGATAGTCTTGTCCTATGCTTGATGTCAGAGACCTGAAATTGACTTTCTGGAGGTTTCAAAGTAAATTTTGAAAAGATACAGGGGAAGCTGAGCATTTAATTACAGTAGTGGCACTGGGTGAGATATTTAATCCCATAATTCTACTGTTTCCTTAATCCAGACCAAATTGCCATTCACCCTCATGGAGAAAATGGACAAATGTACCTAGAATATATTATTGTTGTCACCATTACCAAGTTTCATGCTTGCTTGTAAAGTCATGCAACTATACAAGGCTTAATTTTGTTAATGCAGGCATGATGATCCATCAGGTGCTTAAAAAGATGGAGAGAGAGGCAGAGTTCCCTCATATTGCAACACCTGGTGTTATTTAAAGATGTACAGTAAGCCTGTGGACCTCATAGAAGTCAATGTCAGTTGTGCTCATCTAACCTACAGTAGAATTATGTTAATTCATGTTGATTGATCACTCATCAACACAAGTGGAGGTTTCCTGGCAGGCTAAAGGCTGACTCACACACCCATCTATGTTGATGTAGTGAAGTGATTACAGTTCTGGATTGGGAGGTGGTAGATGCAGGTGGAAGTCACCCTTGAGCCATGAAATTCAGTGGGTGACCTTGCTCTCTCTCCCCCCACCCCACTCTCTCTTTCTCTCTCTCTCTCTCTTAGCCTGACCAACATGGTACAAGTGTGAGAGCAAATTGGGGAGGAGAACCATGTCTGCCATTGTGAGCTCATGGAAAGAAAGACAGGATGTAAACATAAACAAATGTTTGAGGGAGGTGAGAGGAAAACTGTTACATTTGGTCTATGATGGCTGTTTCAGTTTTCACTAGATGCTGTGGTGAGAAGTATAACATTTATAAAACCACAAATTTTGGCTCATGAGAAAAAAAAACCCCAAAACCAAATTGTCATGTTCAGGAAATAACTTATCAGCACCAACAAAATATCACAAAATGGTGAACAAGTTTTGAAGTTTCCCAGTCATCAGAGAATGGTGGCTTGGTGAAGGAAAATGTTGATGTCACAGGGTCTCCATTTCATCATAGTCACTGAACAGAACATGAGAGCTAATAGGACACCTAATTAATCTAGACCAGTGGTTCCCACCCTTGGGTTTCCAGGTGTTCTTGCACTAAAATTCCAAAATGTTCACCGGTTGCTGTGCTGGCCAGGATTTCTGGGAGTTGCAGTCCAAGAACATCTGGGGACCCAAGGTTGGGAACCACTGGGTAGAACAATGAACGGAGATGAAGCAGTGAAACCACTCCTGCGACAGATAAGCCTCCAGACAACTCTGAAGAACATAATACCTCTTTCCATTTAAACATACATATCCAATTCTATTGAGGTTTTCATCCAATCCAATCCTGGTAAGACAAGGAGGAGGAAATGGTAGGGCAGCAACAAAACATGGTGCTTATTTGTGATTCCTCAGCGGCAAACCTGTGGTTCTTCAAATACTGTTAACTCTAATCAGCCCCAGCCCACCCCAGTTCACCAACTTCTGAAGGGCCCCAGGTTTCGTATCCAGCCTTACTCTATCCATTGTGATGCTATTCTTGTCTTTCTCTGCTTTTACTGGGGTGGGAGGTTTGGAGAAAGACCTCTGTGAACAGAAAGACACATGTCCCTCCCTCCCCCCTCTCTTTTTTGCCTTTTCATGTTGCATGTTTGACTGTGTGGGAAGAACTGCAGGAGCGAAAAACAGTGGAAGAGAATACAAAATGGGAGAAAGGAAAGGCAAGAATGTCACAAAGTAAGGGGAATAAAACACCCATATTAAAACAGAACAGGCCAGCAGTTCTGGTTGTGAAACAGGCCATGCTTATCCTTAGTAGGATGAAAAGTCTTGGGTTGGGTGAATCTACAGAGAGTGAACAATTAAGCCTTCTACAGAGCGGTGACTTCATTAGGGTAAATGGGGTGTTGGCCCATTGTAGTCAATTCCTGGCCAGTCCATTCCTGTTGCCCACCTGCTTTTCTCTCTCTCTCTCTGTGTATTTGTAGTTCCTCCACATTTGCCCTGACTCTGTAATTCCTAACTCTGCCTACTATTGTCTGCCATGCCTTCTGCCCTTCCAGCCACAGTGAGCACGAGTCACTACTGCTCCTATAGCAGAATGACCCTCTTGCCTCACAGTCCACAGGATGGGAAAGGATCCATGTCCCTCCAGGTGCTGCTGAGTTACTCCCTCCACCAACTTTCAGCACTGGCCATCCTGGTAAGAGCCATTGAGATGTGTTGGACAACATCTTCCAGAAAGGAAAAGGAGAGGACCAAAAGTTCAGTGCTGAATAAAATGGACTTGATTGGAGTGGATGCATTCTTCCAATGAAACGCTCCTTTGAGCTGTTTTGAGAAATGCAGCACCAGACATGCAGCACGAGACATCAGAAGTTCTCTGCCACCTGATGATTAAAATGTGCATACATGGAACACAAAATGCCTCTCTCTTAGTGAACCATGGTGGCTGGGGATAATTGGAGTTACAGTTCAACAGACTGCTGGATAGCTCAATGGTTTAGGCTTCTGGCTGTGGAGCCAGAATTTGGAAGTTTGCTTCTCCACTGTGCCTCCTCAACAGGAGCACTGGGCTTGATGATCCACAGCTTTGCAGTTCTAAGATTATACTAAGATTATACTAGGAACTTCTATCTTTAAGGTACCAGGTTGCCAAGAGTGAACAAAAGCAGTGCATGCCATGGTACTTGTCCGATGGAAAGACTTGTCATCTGAGAGAACAGCTTGAAAAATATATGGAATTCAGTAGTAAAACACACTCATTCCACAGCCAGGCTTCTTCCATTTCCCACAACATTCAGTTGCTATGACATTGATTTCTTTTTTATTTTTAATTTCTATCCAAAAGGGAGGAGAAAAAGGCAGTTTGGATGAGATGCAGAAATTGCATGGCGAGATCCTCTGTCTCTTTTATCTTTTATGTAAAAACAAAAACAAATAAAGGGAATTGGACCTGGAGGAAGGGAAATAAAACCTTCTCCACGCCCCCAACAATTGGTATTTTCCTGGTAAAAATACCTATCCCAAGCTGATAGCTGCTGTTAGAAATAACATCTATGAACAAGAGGAGGTGGTATATAGGCAACACTTTCTCCCTTTCTCTCGCTCTGGTAGTTATGTTTCTAACTCCCTACCTAGCTTTAAATTCAAGATTTATTGTCAGAAAAAGTTAAACAAGGAAAGTAAAGAGAAACAGATTAATTGCCAGCATTTGCCAGCAAGATGTGCTATAGCTCAGTCTGGATCAAGTGAGATTTTATTTTTTATAAGCAAATGGATATATTTCTTAAGGAATTATCTTGCCCTTCAAAAAAGAAAAAAAATCTCCCCCATTTCTTGTCTGATCCATTTCTCACTGCCAATCACTTTTGCATTCTCATCCCATTATATCTGCAGTACAATTGAAAAGCATCTTTGGTGCAGGAGGGATGGCTGTCTGCCAGCATGTTGATAGGGATTGACATTGGCAGCCAGTCATCCATAAAGATGCCACATAGACTGGGGATGTACCAGAGGGGAGTCTACTGATCCTGAAACAGACAGCACTCTGCTGTAATTGACCAGAGAGAGAAAAGGGGCTCCTAGGTTTTGGGACAGGGCATTTTTCCTTTGAAGCCTGGAATGGTGGAACATGGACCAAGAAACAAGGAAAGATTCCTTTGGCATGAGTTTCATTGCACTTTTCCGCTAGCAGCTCAGATATTCCACATAACCAAATGCACAAGTACAGGATATACTTGGAATCTTTTCTTTTCTGGACTCCATAAAAGTAGTCCCAAAGCCCCTAACTACCGGCTAGGCTTGCAAGGGAATTCTGGGAGTTGTAGTTATATTACATAACTTTTCCATGCTCTGGTTGTAACATGAAGGTGGCTTGTCGTGCTAAAATAATCTGACTTGCTCCCTTCACCATCCATGCATTCTTGTCCTCAGTGTGATCTCATATTACACTGCCTGCAATGGTGTAGTGAGACAATTTCGCATTTCGATCTTTATAGACTTATGGGGACAGGAGGCTATTTAGATGATCATTATGTCATTACCACACTTTCCCCCAAAGTTAGTCTTGTTGCCTTTGAGGGTCCCCTTGCTTGTTCTGCTGATAGGGACCCCACTGGCTGCCTGGGAGCCCCACCAATTTTCCTGGGTGCATTTAATGATGGTTGCTTATCCCCTTCTCCAGCTCTCCTATCCCTCCATGTGTCTTACTTTATGAGCTTCAAGTACTGTAACCAGTTTTTGCCAGAATACAAGTACAGACCAAACTGATTCTTGCTTTCTTAATCTGGTCACCCTAAAATGCTTCTCAATGGATGTCTCCTAATGCCAACAGCCAAAAGAAACAGTATGGTTATGTTATGTTATTTATTTCAGAGGGAGGCTAGAAGCAGAAGGAAAACATGGTGGGGGTTTCAAGCAGAAAACAATGAGTTTTCAGATTCCCTATAAAATTCCCTGCAAGGAGGCAGGAAAATATCAGAAAATAAACCATGGCTAAAAAGTGTGTTCGCGAAGGCTTTCACGGCCGGGATCTAATGGTTGTTGTGGGTTTTTTGGGCTCTTTGGCCGTGTTCTGAAGGTTGTTCTTCCTAACATTTCTCCAGTCTCTGTGGCCAGCATCTTCAGAGGACAGCACTCTGTGCTCTGGTTTAGCCCTTGGCTAAAAACTTTCTTTATCTGTAGCAAAACTTTTGCCTGGAAAAGTTGGCAGTTTTTAGGATGTGGCTTCAAACTCCACATCCAACTCCACTGCAAATACACTGCAATTCTCTGCCTGCCAACTCAGTCATCCAGAAGCATCTGGATTGTAGGAGCATATAGGACTCTGTGCTTCTGGTTTCTCACTTCGCTTCCTTCAAATTATTGGAAGCCAGCTAGAGCCGAAGTTGCCCATTTCTCCAGATTCTGCGGCTCAGCTCGCCCTTATCTGGAAGTGAATCCCTTCCGTGTCCCAATGGTCGTCCTCCTGAGAGCTTCGTGCACCCGGCTGCAACCTCAGTCAATTAGCTTTATCCACATTCAAAGTCCCAACTCCAGTAGGAGCATAGAAAGGACTAAGACGCATCAGTCACAACAAGTAACACAACCTCCACGGACTTCATTGAGTCTACTCAAGTGGGACTTATATTGGCTACACTCCCATCTTCTCTCCTTTTCGTCCTCTCTCCGCGCCCCACATTCGTCATTAAGGATTTCAACAAGACCCGTTCCACCAGAACTTGCTCTGCGCTTTTTTTTTCCAGATAGCTTTATATTGCGCTTGCTAACCAATAAACCATTTGCCGAAGACTCCTAGGGCTAAGCAAAATGCATAGCAGCTCAGAAAGGTGGGGTGCAACTGCCTTGCTGTTGCTGTCTCACGAAAATAGAGGGGTCCAATCTCCCCCCCCCCATCTCACTGGGCTTGGACACGTTTGTGGAGCCGAGGACCTCTTCCTCCCGCATTTGCAAAAACTGCCCGCCACTGGATCACCGGATTCAGGTCTCTGGGCAATCGCTTAACTCCAAGAAACCGTAAGCATCCGACCCGCACGATGCCCCGCACCTCCCATGCAAGGATCTCATTACTTTTGGTTCCGAAGGGATTCTTGAACGCGCCAGCCGAGGCGCAAGACCCTCTCTCCCCTCCAACCCCCGGCGCGTTCTCTTACCTTGTTTGGCTCGCCGTCGGACCAGTCGGACCAGTAATTCAGCTCATCGGCGTCTCCCGGTTCCTCGGCGAACGCCTGCGCCGAGACGAGGAAAAGCACGGCGAGAACGGCCAGGGTTTTCATCATCGTCGCCCGCGTCGTTTTGGTGCCCCGTCGAAGAAGGCAGGAGCCGGCCAGGCAAAAGGAGCCCTGGTGGGGGGAGAAGGACGAGGTGGTGGCGAGACGCGCCGTCGAGGGAAAACCGTCCCCTGGTCGTCCCCCGGGATGGCGCCCAAGTTCTCCGAAGCCCTAGCAAAAGAGGAAAAGAGAGAGGCAGGCAGAGGAGAGTCAATCAAAGCGCGAAGTCTTTCCCCTCTTACGAGCGCATCTCAACCTAGACGAGATCGGCGGGTGGACCTCTTGCGTTTCCCCCTTCCTTCCCGCTTAGTCCTCCTCCCTCACACAGGAATCGGTGGACGTGTGGATGGGAAGGAAACCGACGTGCCTTAAGGCAGTCCGCCCGCCAGTTGCTGAGGACCAGAGATGCACTTACTTAGGAACGTGGCTCCTCCGCGGCTTGGGGAACGCCTGGCTGAATGAAGGCACGCCAAAGGACCCGCCAATTTATATTGCTAGAGGTGGGGAGGGCTGAGGAGCTTCATCTGCCTCAGCCTAATTGCTCCCAAGTATTTTATCATGTGAGTCATGTGACGAGACCCCCCCTCCCTCAGAGTGATGAAGCGTGATCAATATTCAATTACCACCAGAGATTCACTTCCTGCCTTGCTCTTTGCTCCTAGGGAGGGTCTCTTGGAGAAGCAAGCCTTTGGGACGCATTAGTATCACCTGCTTCTCTACGGCTTTCCGCCTGATGCAATCCAGGACAAACCTACGCACAAGGAACCCATCTCCTTGCGGCCAGTTGCTCCTCCCAGCCTCTCAGAAAGGACTGGTGTTTTAGTGTCCCAGGAGACCTGAGATGAATCATCAAAGACCATCCAGTGACTGACTCATCAGGGGAGGCTTCAGGAGAAAATTTCAGATGTCAGGCCTGGTTTGGGTCTGAAGATTAACTCCAGGGTCTTGTTCCAAGGACTGGAAGGATGTGTATGTCTTTATAAATGTTGCCCAGATCAGGAAATCTACAGCTGGAAGATGTCACTGATGGATGTAACTACAAAAAACTGAACATACAGGTGGTTGGTGGTTCCCAACCTTAGATCTCCAGATGTTCTTGGACTAAAACTCCCAGAAACCTTCACCACTAGTTGTGTTGGCAAGGATTTCTGGGAGTTGTAGTCCAATAATATTTGGGGATCCAAGGTTGGGAGCCACTGCTCTAGAGTCATTAGCATACATTTTCCATAATATACAAGGTATTTTGTTTAATAAAATAAATACTTCAGGGTGACTGGAGAGAAATGTTATGGGGGTTGAGGATTCCCATTTTCCAAAACATCACACCCTGTTTAGTATGTCACTAGAGTATCGCCTGCAGTCATGCATACCCCATCCTTTTGGAGAAAGGAACAAGGAAAAATAAATTCAAATGGTTCCAGCTTGAAAACTGTAGAATTTCTCCAACAGCAGAGGAAAAAAACTCTGCATCGGGAGGAAAAGTGACCAGACTGATTCAAATTGACCTTTGTGTTCTGTGAGCTTTTAAAGAAAATAAGTGAATTCATTCATTTTACACTTGTGACAAATCCCTCACTGAAGCTTTCCAGTCTCTGTTATTTGAGTACTGAGATAATCAGGAATGGCCTTTCTCTCTGGTCCCACCTCCCTCACAGGTGCATTTGGTTGGGGAAATGAGAGAGGGCCTTCTCTGCTGCTGCTCCCAGACTCTGGAACTCTCTCCTATGGGGAGACAGGCTGGCCCCATCTTTGCTGCCCTACCACAAGCAGGCAAAGACCTTTCTCTTCAGGCAGGCTTTCCTTTAAATAACTGGTTGACCAAGACAATTTTTAAAGGGATGTCCTTGTATTTTTAATATTGTTCTTATTATGAGTTTTAGTATAATATTGTTTAATGCTTTTTCCTAGTAGGCATCCTTCATCTTTTTCAAATAGATGCTCATTTGTTCATATCACGGCATTCTCTTTACTTTTAACACTTTATAGTTGGAGTGTTAAAGGATGAGGACAAGATAATCAGGAGAGGCCTTTCTCTTGGCCCCACCAACCTCATGGGCGCACTTGGTGGGGACACGGGAGAGGGCCTTCTCTGTTGCTGCTCCTAGACTCTGGAACTCCTTCCCATTGTAGGTTAGGCTGGCCCCATATTTGCTGTCCTCCTGCAAGCAGACAAAGACCTTTTGCTTCAGGCAGGCTTTCCTTTAAATAACTGGTTGACCAAGAGGATTTTTAAAGGGATGCCCTTGTATTTTTAATATTGGTCTTATTATGAGTTTTAGTATAATATTGTTTAATGCTTTTTCCTAGTAGGCATCCTTCAGTCTCAAGAGACTATGGTAATGTGCTTTGAATAGAGGCCTTGGAACAGTGTCTAGTGTGGCCGAGGAGTCCAATTCGAGAGTGACAATCCCTTCCACACTGAAGACAAATACAGTCTGTCCCCTGTCCAGCTCCCTGATTTTGCTGGTTTCGGGACTGCCTCTTTTCCTCGGCCTGCTGGACAAGGGCCTCTTCAAAATGGGAGAGAGGCTGTGATGCCCTGCCTGCCTCCAGGCTGCTTTTTAAATATTGCAATAATTTATTATTTGACTTTTAACATTGTTAAAGGGAGAGAGGGGGGGGGAGAGTTAGCTTAGGGGTCTGAAGTATTTCCTCCTTGTTTTGTCTTCTTTGTTTCTTCCGGGTCAACATCATAAAATTCTTAAGTTCTACTTCACATCCTTTCATCCTCCTGTTCTTCTTGTCTATATTCAGTTCTCAGAGACTTAGCTTTGCATTTGGGACAAAACTCATGGAAATGGTAACTAAACAATGTAGTACTTTCCCAGCTCCTAAGAAATGTTCCCATTCAGGCATTGGCAGCTTGGAATGAGAGCCTTGTAGCTTGGGCACTGGGAGTGGTGGCAAGGAAGAGCCTTCTCCCACATCCTAAACTTGCCATTTCTTTAAATGCGGACAGGTAAAAACTGCCAACTCCTGTGACGTTGCTGGAACCAGTTGTATTGGCTCTTGCCTTTCCATTGGACCATTTCAACAATGTGGAGAGGGGGGATTTGCTGCTTGGGTAACAGCCTATCCTCCAGACTACTTTACCCAGGCTTCATGCTCTGGAGAGGACACTTCTCGATACAGAGCATGTTACCATAGTCTCTCGAGACTGAAGGATGCCTACGATGAAAAACTACAGTCGGCTCCACAATCCAAAAATATCATTCACAGAACACACACACACACACACACACACACAAACACACCCCATTTTTCTTATATAGATGCCTTTACCTTGTAGGTCTGTTTAGACCTCTTGTTTCAGGGAGAGGAAGGAGGGAAAGGATAACTGGCTTCTTTGCAAAGGGAGAAAATGGCAAGTTATTTCTTTGCTTTGAAGAGAGAACAACATCCTGTAACAGGGAGGTTGCACTTGCCCCATCTGATCCCACCAGAGTGGCCCCACATCCTAACTTCCTCTTTGTAGCTGCACCACTGAAGCTGGACAATATGATGGAAGAAGAAGGAGAATAACAAGAAGAACAACATTGAAGAGGCATCTAGGAGCATGGTTGTACTTACAATCAAAGTACATCCTCCCTGTGCAGTTTTTTTTTAAAAATGTGGTGTTGTTAGTTAGCACCAAGCTGCTTCTTTTTGTTGGCATACGAGAGCAAGGTCCATGAAACTGTGCAGAAGATCCTTACCTAAGATCTGGTGCAGATTCCTGTTGTGAGGGTTCCAAGTCCCTATATTCCTATAGTACAAGAAAATTATTGGTTATTTGTAGGGAGCTCTCTTAGCTTCTCAAGTGATGCAACTCATCCAACTGAGAACATGGTTATGCTAGGAAACACATACGTATTTGAATCGGAGTTACCATGTTTTAAATTGATTTTTTAAAAGGTAACTATTGTACATGACACACATGGAAGAGCAGGTTGTTTTGACAGGGAATTGTGTTATTTAGACCAGAAGGGTGTTTTTGTTTTTTTACTCTTTCCCCCAGTGGATTGTTTATTTTAACATGGATGTCAAATTGATTCAGTTTGAATCATTTTGGCAGGCCTGAATCTCTCCCTCCCTTTGCAAGCCTAGTCCGTTTCAGACCCAGCTCCATGTGTCCCTCTCCTTTGTACTTCCCCCCCTCTCTGTGTGTGTGGGGTGTGTGTGTGTGTGTGCGCACGTGCACACACACATACACGCACGCTGGGTTTCAGGGAAAGCTCTGTTTTATTTTTTCCTCTTTTTGTCATTCTGTTCTAGCACTATTTTAGATTGCAAGAAATACAAAATATTAAAATATAAAAAATAACACAACAGCAGCAGTGGCTAGTGGCTGTGAGAGGCAGTCCTGGCAAAGCCTCAAATGCAATGATTATAAAAGCCCATGCAGTGCCCCCGACCAGTACACAACACAGTTTAAAAACAGATTAAAAGTTTTCTCAAGAGGATGCACACCCAAAACCACGTGACTACCACATGATTTTAAACTGATCAACCCCAAAACCACATGACTACCACATGATTTTAAACTGAATTCAAATACCCTGATCCTTCACTCAGTTTATTTCAATAGTATAACCATATTCAGATTTTCCTTTCAGTGTACTTTATAACCCCCCTTCTCTCTCTCTCTGTGTGTGTGTGTGCGCGTGTGTGTGTGTTCCATTTGCAGAATTTTCCATAAAGGTCATACATTTTATTTCTTTGTGGCTTTGCCCCACTGATGGGTGATGAACAGAAAACAACCCCTGTTTGATTTAACCAATGAGTCAGACACGCGCAAGGTACCTTTCCAAAAAGGTTTTTCTGGCAGGTGGTAACAGTGTGGTAGAAACTGAGCTACTTTTTCCCCTTTACCTGTAGATTGTCCCCAGATGCCTTGATTTTCTTCCCAACTATAAAGAATCAGATCTTGACAGTAATTTACATGTGATGGCTCAGGGTATGATTAGCAGCAAGTGATAATTATACCCACAGAACAGTCCAATTAGGAGACATCTCCTAAGTGAGGAGGGAGAAATGAGGTTGGGTAGAAAGTTCTCCCTTTTCATTTAAATCTTCAGCTCTGTGCCAACAGTATCCACTCTGACCGCTGAAGGCAGTCGTAAGTGCTTTGCAGTGTCGTTCCAAAAATGCAAAAAGTGATTCTTTGGGGATTATACCTCTCTAGGGTTTAGGCAACTTCCAACAACAACAACAGCAACAACAACAGTGATGGTGTTGTTCTCAGACCCTGACCCAGAAGTATTCAGACAAGGCCTTGGATGCATGTGTGGGTCGGATATGGAAGATTGCTACACTGGCCTCTGAAATCCCAGTGAAGTCTAAAATTCCTGTTGACTGGCTACCAACTCCAGCAACAGATGGGGTGTTTGCCTCTCCAGAAGCTTGGAGTCAGCATTTGGATATTGAAACTTGAAGAGAGTTTCTGTGTACTCCAAGAAACTTCGGAGCCCAAGATAACAAGTTAAACAGAGTCTCTTATCAGGCAGCTTCAAATCCTCCCTTTTAATAAGCAGAATAAAGTTTAGGAAAAATACCGAGAGAGTTTGATAA